TTCTTTCTTTCTCTCTTTCTTTCTTCTCTCTTTCTTTCTTTTATTTTTGGCTAAAGTGCACATGCACTTGTGAGAAAGAGGCCGAGAGACAGAGAGAGAGGGAGGTGCAGAAAGCACCGCTCATAGGAATCCCTTCTCCTCTGTCTCTTCCACCTTTCAGGATTCTGGGCACATACACACCTGTGCCCAGCATATTCCTCAGGCTCCTGGGTCTGGGGCTCCAACTGCATTGTTGGCCATGTGGGACCCACTTGCCTTAATCCCCAGGCCACAGAGTCAGCCCAACCTTGCATTTTTTTTTTTCCTTCCATTGGATAGGGGGAGAGAGAGACAGAGCCAGGCATTCCCCACACTATGATATACCCCCAGTCTCTGCCAGCCCTGGATCACAAACACATGTGCATACCCAGCACATGGAGGAAGGCTTCTGGAGGGGAGCTCAGAACCTTCCCATGTGGATCAGCTTTGCAGAGCACTCTGTTACCTCCGCACCACGGTGCGGCCCCTATGTGCCTATTGTTAAAGTCAGTGAGTTTGTGGCCACTTATTACAGCAGCTAGAAGAAAATCATACAGTCAATTTGTGTGTTCATAGGAACATGGTGAGGTAAAACATCAGTGTGGTGCCTGGTTTAGAGTGAGAGTACCCCTGGGGAGTGAGGTCTGTGCCCAATACATGGTATTTCTGCTATCAGCAAACTAACTTTCTGAGCACTGGCTTTTCTGAACTGACCCTGGCTTTGTCAATGCTTGACGATCACCCTTCTTTTCTTCAGCCAAGCCTTCAGATCTGGCCGGATTTGTGCCTCTGATATAAAGGTTTCCTTACTTAAGCTCTTCTCCCCTGCCACCCTCACCCCCTGTGGCCACACCCTGCTGTCTGCATTGCTCACTTTTCAATTCCAAGAAGTGCATCGGCACAGCCAGGAACAGGAACCCTGCCAAAATGAACACATCGAGACCAAGTTTCTGATCGGCTTCACTGCAGGAACAGAGTAAATGGATTCTGAACATGTGTTTGCCTTACACCCTTGTCTGTTTCTGATGTAGCGTCTGGTTGCCACGTCCTACGGGGGAGATGTAGGCGGATTTATGAACGGGGTCTGTGCCCTTTGTGTGATGGTTTTGCATGATAGTTTCAGGTCATTTTCAGACTACATTACAATAATGTATTTTCTGATTTTCTTCCCTCCTTATTTGTTTTCCAGTCAGAACTGTGTGGATGCATACCCCACTTTCCTTGCGGTGCTCTGGTGTGCGGGGCTACTTTGCAGCCAAGGTAACTCAGACTTCCCTTTGTATGTTCTTTTTTTCTAAAATGTGTATATCGGGAGGTTCAAAGGGCAGGCGTTCTGTTGCAAAGACATTGCCTGACCTCTAGCTCCGATCCGTGAAGCCCTGGAGAGGTGAGAGCCCCCAGGAGGCTGTGTTTCAGGCATGCCCTGCGCCCGTGCAGAGCCGGTGCGATAATGCATTGCTAATGTTTGCTCCCTGGCGGCTGGTTGTGAGCTGCTGCGCTGACAAGGGTGGTTTAAGGCTAAATGTGACTCAGAATCCTTAAGCAGTGTTAGCTCAGATACAAGGGCATTATAAATGAGAGTGCCTGAGGGATCTATTCTGGGACTGCTGTCACTTCGCTCTCTTGCTAATAAGCTTCCAGCATGGTGGCCCTCCTTCAGGCATGTGTCCGGAGAGTCCCAGAGTCCCAGCTTAGGTTATCAGCAACCTAAAAGAACAGATCAACAATTAGAGTTGATTTAAAAATTAAATGGAAACCAGAGTCATAGCTTGTGGTTCCCTTTTGAAATTTAGCACCCAACAGGCGTGGCTGTGACTGGTACCATATCTAGTGGTGGCTCTCAGGGAACGAGCCAGCTTCTGTGGCCAGCAGGGTGCACATGAAAAGGCCCGAACAATTCTGCGATGAACTACCGATACTCTTCCACCTACCATGGGGTCACACCCCAATAAACCATTGTAAATGGAAAATGCTGTAGTTGAAATGCATTTAATACACCTGTCATATCCTACTTTACATGTGCATGGACCACTTACATTAGCCTAGAGCTGAGCCAAATATGTCCCCACAATGCTGGCTGACATAGCACTGTAGAGTCCAGTTGCTTACCACTGAGACTGTGTAGCTGGCTGGTGCTGCCGTCCATCCTGGGAGGGTATCTTTCCACATATCACTAGGAGGGGAAAGTACAATTCAGAATTCCAAGTCATAAGTGGAACCATTGTTACGTCAGGGTTGTCTATGTTTACCCTTATTCTAGTCTCCCTGCTTGCAACATAGAATGGGGATTATTGCTCCCTGTTACCTTTGCAGACACTTTGGTTCAGGGAGACAACCTGCCCCAAATTACTCGGCCTATGAGTCACAGGGGCAGAATAAAAGCCCAGGTCTTTTGGTTCTAAACTGTGGATGTTTCACAGATATCCTATTACTTTATTCATTTATAGAAGCAATATAGGAACTAGTACTCTTTGCCAAGTTCTGTGCCTGGATACACGGGGATAAATAAAACACAGACTGTGGTGAGCACCTACCAATTGGCAAGACAGACCACAGAAAAGTAAGTGAGAGGACACTTTATTGCCAAGAGCAAGGAGCACCGTGGAGGGAAAGAATTAGGTGCAGTGACAGAGATAAAAAGTGAGGGACTGAAACCACTTCAGGATACCATGTGGCCTCCTTCCATGCTTAGAAAACTGTCAGTGAGCTCACCATTTATTTTCCACTTTCTACCTTGAGTTAAATAAGAGACATGTCTGACATTACTTGAAAAATCAAGTCAAACTGTGCTCATACTAGGAGTTATGATTCCTTTCATGTCTTAGATGATACTGGATCTAGATGGGTGTGAAGCTGCTCTAACAAGATAAATAGGAAGGGAGTTTGAAGGTATTTTAAAGCCCTGGAAATATGTATTTTTTCTCAAAATAAGCATTAGCATTGCTGGGGCAGGGCAATGACTTAAGTGTTAGTAAGCCCTGGTTTATAAGCACTGTTTCTTATCAATTTAGCAGTATATTTCATACTGATATAGATAAGATATATATATCTATATATAAAGTATATATAGGCATAATCTATATGTATACTATATATATAACTACTATATGTAGTTGTATGTGTATTTATACAGTAGACATAGTAGTACAGTTTTCAGCCATATCTATACATCTGTAGCTATACATATTATCTATATCTATCTACATATAGCTGAAAAACACCCCAGAGATCATTCTAGTGCAAACTCTTACCTTACAAAGCAGGGTCCCATGTCCCAGAGGACAAGTAGCCCCAGAGGACAAGAGGCATGCCCAAATTTCAGAATTTTAGAGCCAGGATTTGTCCTCTGATGGGGTTCCCGGTAGCCTAGATCCACTTGGGAGACCTCAGCCATTCCTTGCATAAGGGCAATGAGCGTGGCCACTTGCCACCCCTGTTCTCTATCGGCTCATGTTGAATTGAGTTCCCACCAAAAGGCAGAGCAGAGCCCTCCAGATGGGACAACACAAGAAAAACTTTGTTCAAGGCATATTGTGAGCAGTGACAATTCTGCGAGAGAATAGGAGGAATCTCACAAGCAGTTTCTTTTGTGCTTTTATTTCTTTTTATCTGCCATGTAACAGTAGTATTTTAGAAGGCAGGTGGAGTTGTAGAAAGAAATGGTTTTGGGGAGGACAGATCAGAGGCAAATCCCAGGACACTGCCTGCTGGTGCATGACCTTGGGCTGGTTCTGAGCTTTTCTAAGCCCCAGTTCCCTCACTGTAAACAGGACCCCTGGTCACCTAGTGATCCTGTGATGATTAAGTGAGATACTGTGCAGAAAGCTCCTGCCACAGTGCTCAGAGTACATCGGACTGAGCCATATAAAACGGCGGGTATCTGACTCTTTGTGACCAGCCCAGATTTCGTATGGTGGTGGCGATAAAGCTTGGAAATCAGAAAGACCTGGTTTCAAATCCACCTCTTCCTTTGACCTCTCGTCTTTTTCTCATTTCTTTGACAAATGTTTTTGGAAAGCTCATGGGTGCCGGGCACAGAGGTGGTCTAGGAAAAGATGACAGTTCTCAGGGATTTTCTGGTCTGAACCCAAATTTCCTCATCTGTCAAATGGTGACAGTAACATACCCTTTAGCAGATGGCTGGGAGGATTGGACACCCAAGTTCCCAGAGTGCCAGGGGCAGGGCCTGGCACATAAAAAGTGCTCTGCTGGAAGCAGACAATTTGGTATGTGAATAATACTTGGAGGACTTCAAAGTGTTTTTATTCCTATGACCCTACTTTACCCCCGCCCTAATACTTAATAAATAGAAAAGCCGTAATTGACCTTTTGATGTCGATGTAAAACTAGTTAAAAACTAGCTCCAGACAACCAACCCTAGCCCTAGTGAAGCTGGGTTTTTCTAACTCCCTGCTCCGAGCTTCAGGACCACATGGGGTTATGGGGGTGTTGCTTGTTTCAGCTGCTTCTGGAGTGGCTAGAACACAATGGGAATCCTCTCTCCAGAGGTCTTTTCTCAACAGTAGCAATTATTCAGGAAAGGTTAAGCATTGTATTTAAGGGAGGCCCAGGGATGAAAGACGTGCTTTCAAGAGACCCAGTCTCAGAGCTGGGCTGTGTCCAAATCTTGGCCCCCATCCCTCCACTAGCTGGCACAGGCCCCTTTGATATCTGCATAGCTAGAAATAGAAACATTGCTATCAGTTATGTCGAAAGGATTCACATTAGGTGATGCATATGCAAATACTTTGTAACTGTGCTATGGTGTGTTTATAAGGTCATGTTACTATTACTAAAGTTCTCATCCAGCTTTAGGGCTTTTAACTGAAGTGCATGTCATTCTTGACCATCAGAACCTGTGACCCACACTAGAGTTTGCAACCAACATTGATTGCACGTTGATTGGGTTACTACAGTGCTAACACAGCATGTTTGGGCAGCTACGACTCTAACAGGGGTTTCCATCTCTCCACCTAGCTCCTGCCGCCTTTGCTGGGTTGATGTACCTGTTTGTGAGGCAGAAGTACTTTGTCGGCTATCTAGGAGAGAGAACTCAGAGGTAGGTAACTGGGACTACTGAAGAACAATGGATTGATTCATGCTTTTCAAGAAGGAACAGTAATAATGCAAAACAACATCCTGACTAGCATTTAAGGCTCTGCAGGATTATTCTGGGTCGGAAGGATAGGGCTGACTAGGATCACTCATCCTTGTCTCCCAGAAGCTTAAGGGTTCTAAAAATGCAGCTGGGGGACTGGACTCTTTTTCTCATTAACAACCTCCCACCCAGCATTGGATGTACAAATGGTGCTTTAACGCTGTGCACCACACACTCCTTGCAGCCTCACACCCTCCACTCTCACCCGTCAGAGTCTGGAGCTGGAACAATGTTTAATGTCTGGCTTTGCAGGCCTCCTGTGAGTGAGACGTCTCATTGTTTGTCTGGAGAAATGAGAACTATTGCTTGGATCTTGTGATCAGCTCTCCTGTGTGGAGATCTTCCTGGCAGATCTTTCCCAAAGGAAGAATGTGAGAAAATAAGATGCAGTAAGATGCAACCGTGAGACCACGAGACTGAAGAGTCACTAGGGCATTGTTTGTAGATGTAGCCCCACAGAAAACCCAGTGCAGCTCTTTCACGACACCTGGACTGGGAAATCTGAACTTCAGTAAACTAAATTATGATATGGCAGCAAAGTTTGAGTTCTAGTATGCAGCCAGTTCCTTAGAGATTGGAATTGCTAACACACTAGCAGGGCTCCGAGAGCCAGAAATACATGGTGGGAGGCTTCCACCTTCGACTGTAGCCTTCTCCATCATTTTCCTTCCTTGTTTGTATCCACATCCAGCTGTGTCTTTTACAGTAGCACCCTTCTCTAGTGCTTAATGGGCTCTCTGTTTAGATAGCATCCTTTAGAGGTGACAAAGGTAGTGACATCCCAGGCGGGCCAATGGTGAAAGTGCTACATCTGGGGGACCTAGGAGCCTGTGATGCTACAAGACTTGAGTGGATCAGAGGGCGAGTTGGGCTACACCCAGGAAAAAGATGGCCGTGCTTACCAACAGTTCTTTCTCCCTGCCCATCTCTTCTTCATTCCTCTCTAGAGGCATTCTTAGTTAGCCTCTTAAACCACAATTCTATCATCTCTCTTATTCTTATCAATGTGGTTCTTAATGATACTCTTTATTCTCTTTTACCCTGGAAATATCTATTGTACCTTTCCTCAGGTGCTTACCTGCTGTTAAGAGTTGAGGGGTCAGTGTCTAGTGATGAAATAAAGGAGTCTTTTCTCTTGGGTTGGCTCTCAACCCAGCCATATTCCCTTACCCCCCTCTCCCAGCCCCCAAAGTCCCAGGGGTTTGGCTCAGTCACCAGTCTCTTGAGATGCTACAGCTGCTTTAATTCTGAGGTAATTTTCAGAACATGACAAAATGTGTCCACCTACCCACAGGCTCTTTTAATTTTTAAGGTTTTACTAATTACCACCAAGGAATTAACAGAGGTGGCAAGAATAAACAGTAGGCTATAAACTTACAAGGGATCTTAAAAATGTTCGAGTTCTCTGGACCTAATTATAATGTAATTGACCTCTTAAGTCTCTCCCTGGTCTATTTCATCAGATGATAGTAAGAAGAGCCCGCCATCCCCTTGACCTACTGTCTGTGCGGATTTTAGACCCTCCTCACTTCTCCCGTAGCCATGGCAGGCGTGCATTTTCTTTCTGAAACAAAACTTGGCCTCGGAATGCTTCTTTTGTTTCTTTGTTCTTTTCCTTTTTCTTCTTTCTTTTTTTAAAATCTGGTATAGGGACATGTGCCTATACCAATGAGAGTGAGAAAGCACCCTGAGGGGAAGGGGGCATGCCTCAATCTCTTCTCCTCCATTCTCCTCTTGGGGCTTTGGAGTTGTATGCTCATGCTCCTGACATGTTCGTTAAGCTATTGGGTCTGGAACTTGAACCACACAGTCAGCCAGGTGGGATCTAGTCGCCTTAACCATTATGCCACTGGTTGGCCCCAGAATCCTTCTTTTTTTTTGGAGAGATTTTCACTATAGGGCGCGTGCGCTTGCCAGCCAGACAGAGAGAGACATAGAGACAGAAAGCAAGAAATGACCCCCCAGAGGGGATGGTCACGCCGCAATCCCTTCTCCTCCATTTTCCTCTCAGGATCTTGGGCACGTACGCACACGTGCCCGGCATGAGTTTTAAGCCACCGGGTCCAGGACGCAAACCGCGGTCAACTACGTGGGAGTCCAGCGACATAGCCATTACGCTAACTGCTGGTTCCCCAGAATCCTTCGTAATGCAGAGTTCTGAACAGAAGTTGTCATCAGTAGAAAGGGGAGATACTAGAAGTGCTTCATCTTAATCTAGGCCGAAATATAGCGCAAGACAGATGCAATCCTGAAGGGTGCTATAGTTAAATCCAAGGGGATTTTTTATTCTGCCTTCTAGAAACTAGTAGCTAATATCCTCTTCAGATGGAGACCCACTTCCTCCCTAGGTACTCCCTCTGTCTCTGGAGAGTGGACACACTTGGACTCTACAGACACCTAATTTTTTTTTAAAAGAATGATTTATTTATTTATTTAATGTATTATTATTATTATTATTATTTAAATTTGACCAGAGAGAGACAGACAGGGAGAGAGAGAAAAGGAAAATGAGAAACTAAGCTGCCAGGTCTGGGACTTGAACTACAGTTGGCCACATGGGAGTGCAGTCCTACCACCTGCCAGCCCCGACACCTAGTTTTTTTAATACCCTTGGGACCTGACTTACCCTTGGCCTCACCAGTGGAAGAGGATACTGTTCAGGGAGGTACTTCTCCAAGAATTTCTCTTCTGGATTCCAGACTGTCTCTTTCTCTTTGCTGAAGTTTCTTTGGCCTTGTCTCCTTCAGAAATTCAGGTGTCATTCTTGGCCCAATGTGTGGATAAGCCATTCTTTCACCTACAGGTTTCAGGCTGCCCAAAGGATTTTGCAGTTCTCTTCTTTACTCCTCTTTAAAGTTTATGGCTAATTTCCCGCCTTTCATCTATTCCCTGATCCCTTCCTCTCTGTTCATTTAGCTCATATGTTAAACAGCAGTTACACTGTTAACAGCAGTTTAGGATGACTCTTCATTTCTGTTCCCTTTCATTCTTAGCTATTATTTGGGCCCAAACTCTATATCAGCTAGCATCCTACTACAAGCCTATTTGCCATCTGTCCTCTGCCTTCTTTACCTGGCACTAGGCTGCTCCCTCTTCCTAGCCCTCAGAGTCCCCTTCCTTGTTGGCGTTCCCACTGAACTCCTCTCAACAGCAAGTGGCCAATGATTGGTGGTGTAATTTCTGCTGCTCTAACCCACGGACTGCCTAATTTATAAACAACATAGATTTGTTTCTCACAGTTCTGGTGACTGGAAAGTCTAAGGGAAAGGCTGTAGCGGGTCTGGTATCTGGTCAGGGCTCTACTCTGCTTCCAAGATGGTGCCTTACTGCTACAACCCTGAATGGAAGGTGGGAGGCAAAGGGCAAAAGTTTTTTTTTTTTTTTTTTTTTGTGGAGGGAGAGATTTTTGCTATAGAGCACATGCACTCGCCAGAGACACAGAGAGACAGAAAGCAAGGCATTGTTCCCCATGAGGATGGCCACACTGCAGTCCTTTCTCCTTCATTCTCCTCTTGGACCTTTGAAAATGCACACACACACATACCCAGTGTGAGTTTCAAGTCATCAGGTCTGAGACTCGAATTGCAGTCAGCCATCTGGGAGTCCAGCGATGTAACCATTACATCATCTGCTGGTCCCAAGGCCAATCTGTTTTATAGGATCACTAATCCCATTCAGAAGGCCTACTACACCCTCATCGATTCACTCCCTCCTAAAGCCCTGCATCCTAATATTATCACACTGGTGATTAAGGTTCTGCATACATGTGTTGGGGCACATAGTCAGACCATAGCCGTTGATGATTCTCGAGGCCAGTGAACTCGGTTTACCCAGCTCCTCTTTCTCTCTGGTTGCTCACTCCTTCCTCATGCATTCAGTATCTGTTGGGTAAATGTTCATTGACCACCTGCTCTGCAGCAGGTACTGTGTCAGTTGCTGAAGGAATAACAATGAATATGAAAGAGCCCTCAAGGAGACCCAAACTATGTTAAGAGTCAGGGGCATATTGCAAGACCATAAATTCCCAGCATATGGAAATAATAATAGACCTAGTTTTCAATACACTACAGGACTAAGCCATCACAGTAACTCTTCCTCCTCAGTGTGAATACTTTAGAATGTCTAGGCTCCTCTAAATGTGGACCATGGTGTTCTTTCATGAGTATTCAAGGATAGTTTTGCTTCTTTTGGAAGCTCTGGATACATCAATAGCATCAGCCTCTCTGACTGTAGTTTTCCCAGCTGGAAAATAGATTAATACATGTCCTCACAGAGTAGTTGTGGAAATTAAATGAAGTCATGGATAAAGAATGGCTGACCCTAACAGATGCTTAATAATTTTGACCTTCCCACCTATGTAGAGAGAATTATTAGAAATCAATGAACTTGTAGGAACAATAAAAGAGATGTCTTGATTGTTCAAAGGCTAATGAGGGGTACTGTCTACACTCTGCCTCGTTTCAGGTTCTCTGTGGCTTTGCTTGAGCCAGGCAGGTTCTTCATCTGCACACAGTAGGCCCACTTCTGGGACTGTGGCTCCATCTCCTAGCTTAGAGACTTGGGGATGCTCCTAATGTAGTGCTCACCTGGGGGCCCATTGACGCTTAGCCTTGCAGGTGATGGAGTCTGTGACTGAGCGCCAGCCTCCCTTACATAGGGTATAGCCCGGAAAGGGTTAAGGCACCATAGTCCCCCCTCCTATGAGAGTGATATGCCTGGAGACCTTTGAAAAAGCTTACCTAAAAGCAAGAATAGCACTATTTCACCCAGAGACATCGCCATTTCATCTTTCATGACAGTTTTATCTCGAGCATAAAACAGCTTTGCGAATCACTTTTTCTTGTTTCTGTAATGAGTAAAGGTGGCCTCGCTCATATGATAAATCTAAGTCACCACAATATTTGACTTTTCATAATTTAATTTATCCTCTGGCTAAAAAAGATCTCTTACTTAGACTCCTTTAGTTTCTTTTCAGTTCTTTACCGGTAGTAGCAGTGGTTCTGTATTAGTGTGCTTGGGCTCCCATACAAAGTGCCAAAGACTGGGCGGCTTAAATGACAGAAGTTTATTCTGTTATAGTCTTAGGGACTAGAAGTCATGATCAAGGTGTCAGCGGGGTTGGTTTCTCCTGAGGTCTCTCCCCTTAGCTTGTAGATGGCTGCCTTCTTGCTGAGTCCTTCATGGTCCCCTGTGTGTATCTGTGGCCTAATCTCCTCTTACAAGGATGTGCCATATTGGATTAGGGCTCACTCATATGACCTCATTTGACCTGAATGACCCTTTGTTTCCAAATATAGTTTCATTCTGAGTATTGGGGTTAGGACTTCTACATATGAATTTTGGAGGACACAGGTCAGCCCTTAAAACTCTTTGGAACCTTTTTTTCTTTTCTTTTTAGAGAGAGATTTTTGCTATAGGCATGTGCTTTTGCTGGAGAGACACAAAGAGACAGAAAGTAGGAAATCACCCTCCAGGAGGGATGGCCACATCACAATCCCTTCTCTTCCATTCTCTTCCTGGTATTTTGGGCACACACATACATGTACCTGGCATGCGTTTCAAGGTGCTGGGTCTGGAACTCAAACCACAATTGGCCATGTGGGAGTCCAGCGCCTTAACCACTATGCAACCCGCTAGTTCCTGGGGTTATACTTTTTTCCCCAGTGAGGAGATAGAATGCCTCACTTCGTAAGCACAACTGTAAGCAGGAAGCCAAGGAAAGAAGAGCAAAGCTGGCCAAGGGGCAACATCACCTGGTGGTGCTTCTCAGACTTGAACGTGTCTGTGAGTTCATAGAGAGTTTATCTAAATGCAGATTTTGATTCACTAGGTTGGGGAAGGAGCTAGAGTTTTTCTTTTCTTTTGAAGTTTATTTATTTTATTCATGGTAGAAAGTATGTGTGCATGCGTGAGAGATGGAGAAGCACCCTCAACAGAGTCTCATTATACATCAGTCCCCTTTCTTCAGCCCTCCAGCTCGTCAGGCACGTGGGTACCTGTGTGCATGTGCCTGGGGTATTTTCAGGCCAACCCAGGGACCTGAACCTGTAGTCGGCCACATGGCTTCCAGCACGGCAGTTCAGTAAGCTACTGACTGTGCCATGGAGGCTGGGCCAGAATCTATTTCTGTCAAGCTCCAGGCAGGTGCTGATGTTGCTGGTCTGCAAACCACATTTTGAGAAGCAGAAGCTGATACTAACCTGCTGAATGCCTTTCAAACTCTTGCTGTAGGAAAATTTAGTTACAATATGAAGTTAAGATGCCTTTCAAATAGATACAATTTTTAGCATTCAACCTGTTCACACCAACTTCTGCTGTCTTTGATTATAGCAAGGAATGGGCCTGAGAGCATTAACTGCCCTGATCAGCTCGCTTGGGTTGGCTGTTCTTGTCGAGCAGTCCTGATTGCCAAGAATGCCCTTGCTAGGGTCTCTACTAACAAGTCATTTGACTGGACTTCCCAGACATGCCAGCCCCACTCATGGCCCAGCCATAGCAGTCAGAGAAGGATTCTGCAGAGGGAGGGCAGAGGCCAGGGCAGTCTCTGCCTGCAATTAGGCGGTCACATCTCACTGGGGAGATGCCTCTTGACCCCAGCCGATGAGCTGCCTTGGCAGCTTAGGATTTCAAGCCTTTGAGAGAAGGACGTGAATGTATTAAAAAAGTCTCTCCCTGCACTCAAAAATGTAAGGACCTGTCTTCCGTTGCCCAGAGCCCAGCTCTCATTAATGTGAACGCAAGTCATTCTCAGGCAGCCTCAGGAGACTAGACTAACTATCGGATGCTGAAGCACCTTTTAGATTCTGCCAGCTTCGCTGGCTCGTTTATACTATACTTCTGACGGAGTCCTGCATTACACACACAGCCACGAGCCCAGGCTTTGCGGCCCTTCTTCAGAGGGCTCTCCATGAGTCGATGGCGCTGCTAATCCGCAGTCAGCATGCCTGATGACCAGCAGAAGCCACCACCGTCACCCATCGAGGAGCTGGTGCGAAGGACATCAGAAGCCTGCAGGAGAGCTGGCACAGCAGGGCTCTAACGAGGATGGGTTTTGAGGTCCAGGCTCTTTGAGTTTGGTTTTGAAATATGTTCAATGACTAATAATAGCTAAGACATTTCCATCCTTCATATGAAGTAAATGGGTAAATGGAGCACTGTGGAGTAAAAGGAGCTATAATTTAAACCCCATGTATCTAAAAGTGGTAACGCGTGTGTGTGAGTGTGTGAGTGTGAAATTGGCGTCATCTGTGCTGCATCTATAACACAATTTTCTCTTTCCTTCTTTTCCAGCACCCCTGGCTACATATTTGGGAAACGCATCATACTGTTCCTGTTCCTCATGTCCCTTGCTGGTATATTCAATTATTACCTCATCCTCTTTTTCGGAAGTGACTTTGAAAACTACATAAAGGCGATAACCACCACCATCTCCCCTCTCCTGCTCATTCCCTAACTCTCTGCTGCTCTCATCCAATCAATACCTAGATGTTGTCATAACTCAGCCCGTAAAGGATTCTGCTCTTCTTTAGATAGCTGTAAATCTAATGGCCATCTGAGCTTCAGAGCTGGAGTTAACCTTGCTTTTCCGGGCAGAGAGTAATTTGTGTCAGCTCCGCCCCTTGGGGCCCCAGCTTTGTTATTCAGATCCAATTTGTAAGTTTCTTGGATTGTTCTGCTCTGGGAAGCTGTTTTGTGACCAGATTTATGTTTTTCTAAAGTAAATAAAATGAAATAATTGTTTAAGTCTTCGCGGTTGAGTTTTTTTTTTTTTTTTTTTGTGATTATATCTCTATAGTTAAGCTACCAGTTTGTTTTCCTCAGCCTAAATGATGATAGTAAATACATTATCCACCTTATGAGCAAAAAAAGCTTTCCAGAAGATCTTTCATTAACCATGCAGCCCCTACACACACCCCAAATGGGTTGACATCTTTCTTAGCATTACTCTCAGCACGTACCATAATAAGCAGTTTAAAATGTGTTGTAAGGGCTAGTTGGTGGCATGGTTGTTAAGGTGTCTGGATCTCACAAGGTTGACCTTGCAGTTCATGTGCTAGACCTGGGAACTTGAGAAATATTCGGGATGAGGGACCAGCAGTTAGTGTAATGGCTATGTCGCTGGACTCCCATGTAGTCGACCACGGTTGGAGTCCCAGACCCAGTGGCTTAAACTCACACTGGGCGCGTGTGCGTGTGGGTCCAAGATCCCAAGAGGAGAATGGAGGAGAAGGGATTGCAGCTTGGCCTCTCCCCCCTAGGGGGTGAGTTCTTGCTTTCTGTCTCTCTGTTTCTCTCTGTCTTTCTGGCGAGTGCACGCACTGTATAGCAAAAACCTCTCCAAAAAAAAGAAAAAAAAATATTTGGGATACGTGTGTATATGCCCAGAATCCCAGAAGGAGGAACAAATGGAGAAACGATGAAGTGATTGTGGCATGACTATCCACCATGGGGGAGACTTCCTCTCTGTCTCTGGTGGGTTCACACACCTTCTGGAAAAGTTTTTGAAACATGCCGTAAGTCCCGGTGAAACTTAAGCTAATACTAGGCTCATTGTAAGTGTCCCCAGATACTGGCTGAACAAATTAATACATGGATGCATGAGAGGGTGGATGCGGTACAGCAGTAAAAGTCTCCCTCTGTGAGGCCGATACATGTGGAAATGGTTCCAGTTTGTGTTTCCCTGGATGTCTGGTCATGTGTCCATGATCAGGAGCTGGCTGAAGCTAGAGGTGAATTGGGGTGTCGAGAAGTTGTTGGGGGGGGACTGTCTCTCTATCTCTGTCTCTCTTGGTCATGGAAAAACAATAAATGTTTTTAAGAAGTGAATGAATCTTTGAAAAATGGATGACGGAGTCCATGGCTGGCTGGCTGTATTTAATAGAATGTCTGTGTTGAGCCATTTCTCATATTGTGGACAGATTTCTAATGATCCCACACTGTCACGCCAGGTGCCACTTGGCACGAAGAGCACAACGTGGAAGATGGCAGGGTTTAGTCAAGAGTCCAGGCACCCAACACAGAATCCAGCTCTTAGGGGAGGGTCAAACTCATCAGGACCGAGCTCCCAATTGAGGTGACCACAATAGAGCCTTGGAGCGCCCCCAGGTGAGTGCCTGATGATCGCAATCTTAGGAAGGGACACTTTCCCAGCTCTTCTCAAGCTGCCTCCTTGGGGAGCAGAGCTGGTGTGACAAGGAGTCTGGTGTGGTCTGAAGTCTGGGCCAGTGAGCTTCAAGCGCGATGTTCAAGGCAAGAGGATGTCTCAGTTCCGGAAAAGGCCCCAACTGGACCTGGCTTCCCGTACCTGTCTGAAGGTCCAAGCTGGAGCTCCTCCTGGGCTTCCACTGCCAAACCCCGTTCAGTGGCAGCTTCTTAGAATCGATTGCTTCCGGGTGATCGCCTTTGGTTTTTGCTTTCTTTAGAGATCGGCAGTGTCATATACAAGCCAGGCATTTCTTTTCTTCCTGGTGATAGGGAGGGCATGACAAGCTACGGGATTGAAGTGGCCCCTAGGCCTCCTCATGGTTGGGTTTGCCTGAGACTGAGGCAGTCCCTGGGATCCGGTCCTGGGAAAGCCAGTTACACTAGGCATGGGGTAAGCTGGAAAATGCCCAGGGGAGCCCGCGGACACCTTAGCTCCCAGAGGCTGTGCTGTCTAAATGGACAAGGCCCTCCGAGGAGCAGAGAGAGGACATGGTGTGATGGGTCATCAGAGGCTCGGCGTGGGGTGGCCAGGGCACAGTGTATGGCAGAGCACTAAGAGATTAAGGTGGTGGCAGAGGATGTGTCATTATACCGACAGGGAGGGTCTCAGGGGCAGAACTCCTGAAAGCGAAACCCCTCCTCTAGTCAGAGGCAGCACTGCAAAGTGCCAGACTCTGATTTCAGAGTTCCTGCTCCTTCCACCATCAGTCCTATGGTTTCTCCGAAGCCCCCATTTTTGCATGTTTTAAACTGGGTAATAACAGTACCAGACTCACGACAGTCAGGCAAAGCGATGGGCCAGCAGGCGACATGGTGGTTAAAGGTGCAGGATTCTCACATCGCCAACCACAACCGGGTCCCGGACCTGGTAGCTTGCTTTCTTGCTTTCTCTTTCTCTCTCTCACGAGCACAGATACCCTATAGGAAATTTTAAAATAGGGCACCAGCAGATCACATAATGGTTACATCACTGGACTCCCATGCGGTCGAGTATGGTTCAAGTCCTGGACCCAGCAGCTTCAAACTCACGTGGGGCGTGTGTGCGTGGGTGCCCAAAATCTCAAGAGGAAAATGGAGGAGAAGGGATTGCGGTGTGGCCATCCCTAGGGGAGGGGTGTGTGTGTGATTTCTCACTTTCTGCCTCTCTGTCTCTCTCTATCTCAAAGGCAAGTTCACACCCCGTATAGCAAAAATCTCTCTTAAAAAAATAAACAAATAAAATTAAATAAGTATTTTTTAAAAAGAGAAATGTTTAGTACATAGTAAGTGTTGAATAAAAATCAGTTTCTGTTTATTTTTTCACCTCCTCTGTGAGTTAAAGAGAGAGATAATACCCAATAGGGTCTTTTTTTTTTTTTTTGGAGAGGTTTTTGCTATAGGGTGTGTGCGCTCGCCAGACAGACAGAGAGAGACAGAGAGATAGAAAGCGAGAAATCACCCCCCAGGGGGGATGGTCACACCACAATCACTTCTCCTCCATTCTCTCAGGATCTTGGGCATGCATGCACACGTGCCCGGCATGAGTTTAAGCCACTGGGTCGGGGACGAGAACCATGGTCGACTACGTGGGAGTGCAGTGACATAGCCATTACGCTAACTGCTGGTCCCACCCAATAGGGTCTTGACACTACCATCACTACCACTACCAGCCCCAGCCAGCCCTGGATCAAGGATGTGCATTTGGCTGGGTGTGAACCCAGAACCCTCCCATGTGGAATTGCCTCACAGAGTGTTATGCTTTACTGCTGCACCACTGTTGGGCCCCAAATTAACTATTATTTTATACTAATATTCTATTGCTGCACAAGAAATATCTACAAACCTGGAGGCTCAGAACAACACGCATTTATCATTTCACAGTTTCCGTGGGTAAGAGGTCCTCGTGGTTTAGCTGGGCTCACCGTCTTAGCAGGTTGTCATCTGGAATTGGTCAGAGTTGTGATCTCAGCTGAGGCTCAGGATTTCCTTTTAGGCTCCCTGGTCATGGGCCAACAAGAGAGCTTCATTAGTGCGTTCTTTGTGACCTCTAGCCCTTCTATAAAGGTGTTACCTGTTTGGTCAGACCCACTCAGGGGAAGTTACTTTTGAATAACTTAGAGTCAACTAGTTGAGAGATCTTAATTACATTTGCAAAACCTTCACCTTTACCTTATCACACAAATTAGTGAAAGGAGTGAAACCATGTCCATGTCCTGCTCAAATTCCAAGGGAGAGAATTATACAGGAGAGGGAGTTATGGAGGGTCATTTTAGGACAACCTCAGTTTCCACCTCCCTTGTCTTCCAATCACAGAGGAGCAAAACAAAACAAAACAAAACAAACATGGAATGGATGTTGATATTTGGGGTTCTCAGAGCAGAAGTGCGTTATGGAGTGTGACACCTGAGAGAGTATGTCATGAGAAAGGAGGCTGGGGTTTCTTCCGCTGCCTTGCCAGCAGGGAGCCTTCTAACCTTTTTTCCTATCCCCTATGGCAAAGAGTATAGTTAAGGAATAGATGAAGCAGGACATATAATAAGTGAATTCCTCCCTCCCCTCCATTTTGACTAAAATAAGGTTATTATTATTATTATTTTTTTTTTGGAGAGGCTTTTTCGCTATAGGGCGCGTGCGCTCGCCAGACAGACAGAGAGAGACATAGAGACAGAAAGTGAGAAATCACCCCCCAGGGGGGATGGTCACGCCGCAATCCCTTCTCCTCCATTCTCCTCTCGGGATCTTGGGCACGTACGCACATGCGCCCGGCGTGAGTTTTAAGCCACCGGGTCCGGGATGCGAACCGCGGTCGACTACGTGGGACTCCAGTGACATAGCCATTACGCTAACTGCTGGTTCCCTAAAATAAGGTTATTTTCTTGATAAGAATCTCTTGGGTTGTAAAGAGATAGTCTGGCAATAGGGTATTAAGGTTTACCCCTCTCCCACCCCATGTCTTCCCTATCTGTCTTACTTCTATTGGTTTCTATAACAAAATACCATAAACCGAGTGTTTTATAAATAACTGTGAGAATGTGTTTCTCACAGTTCTGGAGGCCAGGAAGTCCAAGATCTAGGCAACAGCTGATTCAGTGTCTGGTAAGAGCACATGAATGCTTTGTGGTACATGGATGGTGCTTTCCAGTGGCATCTTCATTTGGTAGAAAAGAAAAACCCTGGTTTCTTCAGCCCCATAAACATTCAGACCGTAACTATATCAGTAAAAATCCTGCCAATCACTCAGTTATTTGCTCAAGTTCTAAAGGAGGGCACTATCCTCATTCTTGTCCTCCCTTATACCCCACAGTCAATCATTCCCAAGGTCCACCAGCCCCACCTTCAGAGTCATCCCACAGCTGCCCCTTCTTACTATCGCCACTGCTACTGCCATCACTGAAGCCGATACTACCTCCCTGTTGGGCAATTCCCTTGATCAGATATTGTGTTGTATGCCCTTGCTTAAAACCTGCCAGTGAGTGCTCACCGTTCTTAAGATAAGCCCTCAAATGTCGGCTTGGCCATCCAGGCCCTGCAGGGTTAAATGTGTCCTTC